GCATCTCTGTCTTGTGTGGGTGAGAAATGTGGGTAGGTTTTGATTTGTTGAGTTATATATTGGTACTATCTATATATTGTTAAATTTATGGTTTAGCCCGGCTGGATATTTTGTTTTTAGACGTTGTATCCCCTTATTTTCATGGGACTCTTAAATCTTTCTAATGTTATCTGCTCTGAACTTATATATATATATATATATATATATATATATTTCGGACAAGGTTTGCGTTTCCATCGTTTCGTAAGAATGAATTGCCCTACATGAAATTAAGCAATTTGGTATATGAATTTAATTGCCAGGGCGCTGCTGGTTATGTGGGGCGTACAACCTTGCATTTGGAAACAAGAATTAATCAACATGTACCTTCTAAAATATGGCATGGCAAAATAGATATTATGTTATCTTCCCTCTACAAATATGGAATCGGTTATTGCTCAACACCTAGTAGAGAATATAACCTGTGCCAAGTCGTATACGAAAGAGTGATTCAAAATTATTCCCATAGCTGGTTCCAATAATCATTTGAAGATTTTGGAATCAATCTGGATAGGATTACGGAAACCTTCTCTTTGCCGGCAGAAGGACTTTGTGAAGTCCCTTAATTTGTTGGGGGGTATTTTATTTTAACTGACCCTCGGTAATTATTTACACGTGATTTCCCCTCCCTTCGTTATAAGTATATATATACTTATATGTTATTGATTTTAGCGTGTTTTCCCCCTTATTTATTTTGATCTTCATTTTCGTTGTTGTTCTTTTCGTTTAATTTATCAATTTTTCCAACGATTTTCTCTTAATGAGAAAGGGCCTTAGGGACTATTACCATTAATAAATTCCTTGTTTTTAAAAGAGTATACAGATTATATCTGTACATCTAAACATTGTTTATATATATATATATATATATATATATATAAAATATATATATATTTATGAATAAAAACGAATAGAAAACTAGTAATTGCTGACGCGTTTCGTCCAATGTGGACTTAATCAAAGCAAAATATTTTTTTTTTCGTATTTTTGCTTTGATAAAGTCTACATTGGACGAAACGCGTCAGCAATTACCAGTTTTCCTATTCTCATTTTATTCATAAATATTGTCTTCTACCGATTAAATCGGAGAAATTTTCATATATATATATATATATATATATATATATATATATATATACATATGCGCTGAGTTCTGCTTAAACAATTAAAATAAAACAAGACTAAAATAAAATCAGCAGAATTTCCATTTTCCACTCCTATTTTATTTTCTGATGAAGTCTTAATAAAAAAGCGAAACATGTTAGATTTATAACCATTTCATATTTCTCTTTTCTCCTAGTGTCTCTCTCACCATTTCGCACTCTCTCTCTCCCTCCCTCCCTCTCTCTCTCTCTCTCTCTCTCTCTCTCTCTCTATATATATATATATATATATATATATATATATATATATATATATAAAACAACGAAACCTAAGTCGTACCCAAACGTAGGTATATACAAACACACACACACACACACACATATATATATATATATATATATATATATATATATATATATATATATATATATATATATTTTATAGATAGATAGATAGATAGATAGATAATATCAGATCCGTAAGTGAAAAGTGTGTTTTTTATATAAATATTAAAAACTTACAGACGTCAATAGAGAGCACTATGATATACGTCAAGGAAAAGCTTAGCATATCAGAAAAATACGGTAATAAATCATGATTTATTTCGACCAATAAGTCTCATTAGATCGAAGTTATATATATATATATATATATATATATATATATATATATATATATATATGTGTGTGTGTGTGTGTGTGTGTGTGTGTGCGTGTGTGTGTGTGTGTGTGTGTGTGTGTGTGCTGCAGTTAAGTATGAAGCCACCCCAGCATTAGCGTGGGATGAATTTAACAAAAGAGTGAAAGATAGAAGTTTCTGTCGCTTCCTTCAGACCAGAGCTTTAAAATAATTCTCCTAGGCTAGTTGCAAATCAAATATCGATTGATTCTTTTACGGCTTATCAACCCTTTATGATTTATTTAAAGCCTTATCCTGGGTATGACGATAAGCTACAACGGATTGGTTAGCTTTGGACAACTTGGAACCACTTCTTAATTTCCGGTATTTCTAGGTTCACCCTGACCTGGAGTCGTAGCACCTGTTAGGGTCTCTGCTATGGGCAAATCTTGAATTCCCAAATAAGGCTATAGAACTCAGTCAGCCTGGGAAGAAGAGTTGGGTTCATATCTTTTTCCAAAGGTATTAGCATTGGATCTCCGATTCCTCAATTCGAGGCGTAATCCATTATACCATCGTGCCATCAATGAAGGAATACGTTAAAATTATTGAATTTAAATTAAAAAATACCAGCACTTGGTATTCTCAAGCGGTCACCCATCTAGCTACTGACCAAGCTCGATGTTGCTTAACTTCCGTCATCGAACTGGAACCGATGTTTCAACGTGATCTTGCCGTAAGCCATACCACTCGCATATCCAAGCTTATAGAATCTGGTTTTCGGAAACGGTCACCCATCTAGCTACTGACCAAGCTCTATGTTGCTTAACTTCGTGACCATCCTTACAGACGTTCAAAGCATGAACCCTCATTGGGGATCAAGGCTAGTTTGAAGAAGAAAAAATAGGCATAGAGAAATGTGAATATATCTCGCACGGTCTTTATATATGTGACTGTCTCTCAGTACCTATTCTCATTCAATGGTGTCTAACTGACGACATTTTAACAAAATGGGTGACTCTCACTTAACGCATGCGCAGTTAGACATATCTTGAGAGATTGCTAATTTAAATAAAGTCTCTGGAATTGGTTCTTGATATAAATCTAGATGCTTTTACGGACATTGCTAAAATGGTTAGTGTGCAGGTGCGGGGTTCTTAATATTAACGTCTGAGAACGTCTTAAACATTTTCATACACAAGAATTGATTACTTGCAAAATATTATACATCTGAGATTTATTTGAGCCAGCCTCCGCCTTTTGCGGTGGTGAAGGCGGGTGGTCGAACGCCGGCAATGAAACGCTAATTTGAATTGTTCGAAATGAAACAAGCAAAATAAAAACAAACAATCCAATTTGGTTTCAATAGCTATCTCGTGTTTGGATTCAAAGTTTAAAATGAACGACAAAAGCATTGAATTTGCTTAAAGTAACTGGATGGGTGGCGAGTGGGGAGACGAATCTGGCCTTTCACGATTGCATATCTGGTTTCTGTTGTGTTTTTAAAAAATTCTAACGTATTCAGCTGAAACTAATTAGCAGATATTCGCCAACAATAAGAATTATATATATATATATATATATATATATATATATATATATATATCTGTGTGTTTGTGCGTGTGTAAACCGGCATTTACGAGCAATTGACAAAGCAGCCTGCTGGGCTTTTAAAAGTGAATACCTTAAAATAAACAAGTAGTCCTTATCAAGCCTCTAAAAATATGTCCACTTATCAGCGTATAGATAAACATTTTGAAATATTTCTTTTCAATCAAATTTCTGTCTCTCCATTTATCGCTAAAAGACAGTTGTGTATATATATATATATATATATATATATATATATATATATATATATATATATATATATATATATATATATATATATATTCTAATGGAGCGAGTAAGCAACAAGAAAGTCTGAAAGTAGATGGAAGCAGACAGAACACATAAGCACAGAAAAAGTGACTTTCATATAAGTATACATATATACGTGTATAATAATAATAATAATAATAATTGTGTTAACCCCAAATGCAGATTCTCTGATAAATATGCGGAAACAATTGACCATCTTGTATCAGGTTACACGGTGTTAGCACTCACTTAATATAAAACCCGCCATGACATTGGAAAATATGCAACTTTGACGGAAAGGAAACTGCAAGAAAGTTCTATCAACACCACCCAGACCCGGTTATGGAGATCGGACCTGTGACAATTTTATGGGACTTTCCAATACACACAGAAAGAACAATCAATGCTAATCGCCCAGACATCGTGATCAAAGACCACAAAAACAGAATGTAATTTCTTATTGGCATGGTAGTCCCTGCAGATTGTAATGTATCTTTGAAGATCTTTAAAAAAAACAAACTATCAAAATACAAGGCTCTTGAAGTGGAAATCTAAAATTGTAGCACATGAAGACATCAATAACTCAATAACAAAATGTTCCAGTAGACTCATTGAAGGGATTCCTGGAAGCCCATGCCTTAAAGAAATACAAAACATTGCACTAACATTGCACATTACGAAGAGCTTTATCTACCTAAAATATAGGTGACCTTTGTTTTATTTTTGAAAATTTTGTCTAAATGTTCAGTGAAAAATATCATGATGCCATTTCTGACGTTAGGTCTCAGGTTGGGAAATTTTAGTAGAGAACATTTTTCAAAGGAAATAAAATAATAATAATAATCTCTCTCTATAAAAGGCAGGATATGTGTGTGTGTGTGTGTGTGTGTGCGTGTGTGTGTGTGTGTGTGTGTGTGTGTGTGTAACGAATGTACGGCCGCAATTTTCGACGGATTTGCACCAAAATTTACATGCACATGTCCCAAGTTAGCGGGAAGGCCAAAACCGACTTTGCATTTCCCAACTCCCATCGATAGTGGAAAGAATCGATTTTTTCATTCTTCTACGGCAGTTTTCATGTAGTTTTCGGCCATTTTCTACTGGCCAGCGTGAGAGCCAACAGCTGACTGATACGAATGTTAGCTAGTATGCTAGCATGCAAAAAAATCGATAGCTGCATTCGTCACAAATGGGAAAAATTTAAATCTGCATGGCACTTTACTCCAGTTGGCTCATTCGATTGCTTAAACTCAACGTTGATTCTGATTCCGCAGAACTGGGTTGGGTGTGAAAAAAGTATTTGTTGTAAACATTCTTTTTTCATTCGGTTTTTCCAGTTACGAGTCCTTTTTTAAAGCTGATCGTTTTGTGTTCATTTTGTTTAGTTCTTTTTTCGTAACAGATTTAATGTTTAGTATAGAGCTTAGAAAAAATTCGCAGTGTGAGATAGGCAAGAAGTAAGGCGTGTAGCAACATCAGCACGGCAAAGGGCACTCCTTTAAAGGCAAGGAAGGGCAAAAATATTTTAAGTCAAGTGATAGCGATTGCTGTATGAGTCGTACGATTTTTGAATCAAGCACGAGCAACGCTGGGCCATGCTGCTAGTAATAATAATAATAATAATGGCAGGTCTAACACCATCACCACTACTACGATGAGAGTACAGTCTTTCTCCTTTCCTCTCTTTACTTAATAATAATAATAATAATAATAATAATGGCAGGTCTAACACCATCACCTCTACTCAGATGAGTACAGTCTTTCTCTTTTCTTCTCTTTACTTAATAATAATAATAATAATAATGGAGGTCTAACACCATCACTACTACTACGATGAGAGTACAGTCTTTCTCCTTTCCTCTCCTTACTTAATAATAATAATAATAATAATAATGGCAGGTCTAACACCATCACCATTACCACGATGAGAGTGCAGTCTTTCTCCTTTTCTCTCTTTTCTTAATATTAATAATAATAATAATGGCAGGACTAACACCATCACCACTATTACGATGAGAGTACAGTCTTTCTCCTTTCCTCTTTACTTAATAATAATAATAATAATAATTTATTTTATTTTATTTATTCATTCTTCCTCTCATTGTGCAACGGAATTTGACAAGTGAGCCAACACTCATATATACACACACACACACATACACACACACACAAACACACACACACACATGTACACACACTAACAATAATAATGAAACAGAGATATGCAGTCCGTCACCCCCTAGGGAACACACCCAACTGGTTTGGCTCGGATAACTGACACTCAAATTAGTGATCTTGAACCGGATATTTCGTGTAGCCCATCTATATTCACCAAGGAAAAAACGTAAATCTTAATAGTGTCAATCAGTTAAGATCAGAAGCCACGTGAGCCACTCGTGGTGTAACCTCAGTGCATTTACATTATTTATTTACATTATTATTATTTTCTGATTCCCTTTGAGTTCTGCTCTATACACATTTCCCCCCCCCCGGGTCACAAGCAGTGACCTAAGATCAGAAATAGCATCTTGACATTTTCCACTGAACGTTTTTGTAATAAAAAGATAAAAGATAATTTAAAATTTAAAATCACAGGCATTTTACATCGATAAAGCCCTTCGCCTGGTGGTAGCTCTACTTGTGAGTAAAATATTTTGTATTTCTTTAAGGCATGGGCTACCAGGAATCCCTTAAGTGAATCTCTCGGGACGTTTTCCAATCAATCCGAGTGTTCCAGCTACAACTGGAATTATCGATGTTCCCATTATTAGATTTCTATTTCAAGATCCATATATTTTGGTAGTTTTTGAAGATCTTCAAAGATACATGACAGTCTGCGGGGACTGCTATTTCAATAAGAAAGCACATTCTTTGTCGCCGTGTTTGATTACGATATCTGGGCGATTAGCTTTCATTGTTCTGTCTGTATTGTAAAGTCCCATAAAATTGTTCTAGATCCTCTAACCGTAATCGGGTCTGGATGATGTTTATTACTTGTTTCTTGCTGTTGCCTTCCAATCTTTTCCAATCAATCCTCGGGTTCCAACTCTAACAGAAATTGTTCATGTCCTCATGCACCGCCATTTTGAGATTTCCATTTAAAGGTCCTTGTGATTTGATAGATATTTGAAGATCTTCAAAAATACATTGTAGCCTGCAAGGACTGCTATGTCAATGAGGAGACACATTTTGTTTTTACGGTCTCTAATAACGATATCTGGACTATTAGCTTTCATTCATAAAATTATTACAGGGCCTATGTCTGTAATCGCGTCTGGTTGGTGCTCATACCAAATTTCTTGCAGTTTTCGTAAAACTTGCAGATTTTCCAATGCAGATATTGGCACACTCTTTCATGCCAGGTTTTATATTCAGTGGGTGAATACCGTGCAGCCTGATAAAAACGATCAATTGTTTGTGGATATTTATCACAGAATCTGCATTTTGGGATAACAGAATTTTTCAGTATGTGTCCTTGCTAATTTCCAGTTAGTAAGCATTGGTCCTGTTGAGCAAGAGTAAAACCTTTGGTTTTAGCTTTTAACCCTGCACTACGTAGCCACCAATGGGTCCGGGTTTTTGTCTACATCAGCTTGTTTGGGAAGGGCAGAATATTAACAGTGAAGAGGTTTATCTTACCATCGTTTCTATATTTGATCTAGTCCATTTGCCTTTGCTTTCTTTTTTAAGGTTTTTGCAGTTGCAGTCGGTGTATTATGTTTTAGTTGCATTTCTTCGCCCTGTAATCGGCTCTGGGTGATGTTCATACCAGTTTCTTGCAGTTAACTTTCCGTAAAATGTGCATATTTCCCGGTGCCAGTATTGCACACTATCATGCCGTGTTTTATATTCAATTCTTGCTAACACTATGCAACCTGA